GGTCAGAGGGAGAAGCAGACTCCCCGCCGAGCAGGGAGCCCGATGCGGGACTCGATCCCGGAACTCCAGGATCATGACCTGAGCCGAAGGCAGTCACTTAACCGACTGAGCCACCCAAGTGCCCCCCAATATTATGTCTTAAGCAGACACCTCTTAGCCAGTAGTTTGGCACCTCCCGTGCCCAGAACCTTCCCAATCTCCTGTTTCTTGGCATTCTGTGCACATCTCAACAAGCATTTATCACATTAAATGAGTTTGAAACCAAGAGCCACACTTAAGACACCTTCATAAACACAGGGCCAAGGAGATGCTTCCAGGTTAATGTTTATACCCCGTGGAGGCAGGATGGGAGGAAACAGATAAATGCAAGGATATGTCATCTCCTTTACTCCGTTTATGAAACATTGCTGCAAATCCCAGGACAACTCCCAAATTCCACTGGGTGAGCAACCATAAGTGAGAAGAGAGCTGTGCCCACTGCCCAGGCGGAAGGGGACTGGCTTTAGCAATGACCAAGGAAAGCAACGGCAGCCAATCCACCACCTGCTGAGTCGGAAGGAAAAGCAGAAAGTCACAGGGTGCTTACCCACTGCTGGTGGCATTAAAACCTGCCCGAAACTTCCAAAGGACAAGTAGCAAAGTGTCTAGAGGGTTATCAAAAACTCCCCATTAAAAGGAACCAGGATTCTGTGAAGAGACTGCTGCCCACCCCCTACTTTTATTATTCTGAGTGCTTTACTGGCTCCCTGAACTAGTAACCTCTGTGGAGATAAACAAAGATCACCCCCAGGAGAACAAGAACTACTTACTGACAGCAAGACAGTAAGTGACCACCACTGCCTGCATTTGGCAGAGACTCAAGCACAGGCAGGAGAAGTGGGAAAGTTTTATGGTGGCCGAAGGGGAAGGTGCATCCTGACGGGAGGCTGCTGGAGAAGCTGGAGGGGAGGAGGCAGGCAAAGAACAAGAAAAGATGAGCCTACACACCTTCCTGCACCAGAAAGCAAGGAAGTGCTCCAAGAATGATGGGGACACATCAAAAGGATAGAGGAGCCAGCCCAAGAGCTCTGCCACTGACCAAATGGGGCACCGTTTGAGCATCACAAAGAATAATGGGCTCTATACTTTGGATTTGTGACCGTATGCATGCTACACCTCAACAGAAATGTTTACAAAGACAACCACTCCAACAGCAGGGAAAAGGTAATACCAATTCTATAAAAACGCTTCTAGAAAACAGAAGAGAACACTTCCCCCAACTCACTCTATGAAGCCAGCTTTACCCTATTACCCCATCCAAAGACATTATAAGAAACTACAGATCAATGTCCATTATGAACATAGAGGCAAATATTCTTAACAAGATTTTAGCAAATCAAATCCAACATAATAAAAAGGGTAATACATCCTACCAAACGGGATTTATCCCAGGAATGCAGTTTATCCCAGGAATTAAAAAAATGAGTGTAATTCATCGTAGTTAACCAAAAAGCCATGTGATCATCTCCACAGATGCAGAAAAAGGGATTCAACAAAACCCAATGCCCACTCCTGAAAGAAACACTAGTTTTTGCCACAAACGTGTAAGCTGCCTATCATCACGCCTGGACCTGCTGTCCAGCTGACAGGAAACACAGAGCGTGGAGAAACGGTTAAATGACAGCATGAGGAAGCAATCCGACAGATCCAGAATGGGGACATTCTACAGGCAGAATGCCCCAGACTCTTCAAAAAGCCCCAGAGTAAATGGGACTATTCCAGAAGCAGAGACCAAAGTAACCAACTGTGATGCATAAACCTACACTGGCCTCACAAAGCGACAGTTTACGACAAGTTGGATAATGTGATTGTGGACTGAGGGTCAGAAGACACCCTGGAATGATTTAAGTTTTCAGGACGCTGTCCACCGTGCTCACATTGGCGAGTGTTCTTGATCTAGAGCGCTGGTTCTCAATCCTGGGCCAAGGTTGATCCCCAAGGATGTCTGAAGACATTTCTGATTGTCACTGCGAGTGGAGGGGGGGCTGCGGCGGGATGTGCCACTGTCATCTAGCGGGTAGAAGCCAGGGATGCTGCTGAACAGCTTGCAATGCACAAGACTCCGTCTTACCATTAAGACTTGTTCAGCCACAAAAAACAATGCCACGCTTTGAAAATCCCAGTCTAGAGGAATGCTGAAGACTCATGGTGAAGCCCCATGGTGCTGCATATATTTGGGGGTATTAAGGCTTTGGCAAAATGTTAATTACTGAATCTAGCTGGAGAGGATACGGGTATACATTACGCTACTCTTTCAACTTTACTGAATATTTTAACTTTTTTTTATATATAAGTAAGTTGGGTAAAAACAAAATAACAAAGGTGGGAAACTGATGGGGCAGGGAGAGCAGCCCAGCATACCTTGCAGGAAGGGGCTCCAGGAGACCTCTGAGTGGGGATGCCTGGGAGGGGCCAAGGCTGATAAGGCTTTGGCTGAGGGTGTGGCTCAAGTGAGGAAGTTTTCAGGTCCCAAGGGTCCACAGGGCATAGTTCAGGGGAACTCAATGTGTGGGTGGTGGTGTGGCCCTCGGCGCTGCCGAACGGGGAAATGACCCTAAAGGGCACGGCAGAACTGTCAACACTTCGGGACATCATTGGGGGCGGTCAATGGCTACCGCTGACCGCCACTACTGGGATCTGTCGGTGGACTGACCAGGCAGGGAGACCTTGGGCCATTCTGCTTGGGGGAGGGTGGAGACACGGGCAAGTCCGGGCAGGAAGTTTCTGGATATTATGCTAACAAGGGGCCGTGCAACTGAAAAAATTAAACTGCCTTGACCCCTTTTTCACCAAAAAACGCTAGCGGTCTCCGAGCCCTTGACCTGGTCAATTTTAGGGACTTCATCTGAGTGACACCCAGGGCAGGGCTCGGCCTGCACAGAGACCGAGAGCTAAACTCCCGGAGGAGAAGCGTGCGTCGTCCCGCCACCCCGCGCACCTCGGTGCTCGTTCTGCAGCCGCAGGCGCTGGTTGTACAGGCTCTTCTCGGTGAGGTGCTGGATCTCCAGCAGCCCTTGCACGATCTCGAACACGGTGCCGTCGAGAAGCGCCAGGGCCAGGTCGCTGAGCGTGGTGTAGGACAGGCGCTGCTGGAAGGAGCTGAGGGCAGAGGGGCGCGGTGAGCGCGGGCCGGACCCAGGGCCACTTCAGCCACCCGTTCCGCCCCGCGGCCGCGCACCTGGGCAGCTCTTTCACTAGGCCCTGCAGCGCGGACAGCAGCTGGTAGTGCCGCTCCTGCTGCCGGGCCCCATCCACCGCCTCCTCGAAGGCGCCCGTGTAGCGCTCCATGGCGCCCGAGCCCCGCCAGCCGCCGGCTAGAGCAACGCGCGCCCCCTCTGCGTCAGTTCCTAGTGCGGCGCGTCCCGCCCATTTTACGTCCGTTCGAACGCGGTGCGTTCCGCCCTCTTTTACAACAGTTAAGCGCGGCGTGGCCCACCCTCTGCGCCCTGCAGAAGGAGGCCCTCTCCGCCCCTCCGCGGAGGTTCCTAGGAGGGTCCCTCGTTGTCCCCGCCTCTTACCATGCCATTTTGCCCACGCGACTTCAGAGTACGCGTAACCATAGCGTCGAAATCGCGAGATTTCGAAGAAGCCCGCCCTGCCTGCACAAAGTGGGGGCGGACCGAAGCCCAGCGCCACTGGGGATGTATGGCTGGGCTGGGCTGCGTCCCGGAGGGGAAAAGGTAGGGGGGGAGGGGTCTCGTCCAGCGCATGCGCCTGCTGGGGCGCCGGGGGGTCGCGGCTGTCGTAACCTGCTTGCTCCTGTTGCTCTCCCAAAAAGGGCTTGAGTCACTGATCGCCGAGCTCCGCCAATACAAGCGGCGTGACCTGGAGCCATTTTCGTCACCTTCAGGCCTCAGTCTCCTTGTCTTCCATTCATAGGACGTTTGTTGGGGTTACCTGTCAAGAGAGCCCCCACCCCAAACACACACCTGCGCAGGGTGTGGGAGCTCCAGCAGCGGTGATGTAGGCAGGCCCTCCGCGCTGGAGGAAGCGCCTGGCTTGGCAAGGGCGGTTCTCTCCTCCCCCCTACACCTTCCCCAACCACATTACTTTGAGGACAGTCCCGTTTCCCGCCTCGCTTCTGCCTCCACCAGGGTAGTCAACATGTGGAAGAAAACCTGGCCCAATTTCTCAGTCCAACCTTGAGAATAATTTCCTGGAATCCACAATTACGGTTTTCATAAGCCACAAAAATCTACAAAACAAAGTTTCGATTGCTGAATATCCTGCTGGGCTCAGGGGGGCAGGGGATTCCCGCCATGGAGAACCAACATTGTGTCTTCCTCATCTCAGTGGGAGGGTGTTCAGTGCTGCTAAAAATTGGGAGGGGGCTGCTGTATAGTGAAATGCAAAAGTAGGTAGACTCCTGAAGAAGACCACCAGTAAGAAGGCTTGTGTGGCCAACTCGAGCAGGAGAATCCAACCGGCCTTGGATAGAATGCCCAGACCTCTTGAGAAGAGGGCGTGCTGACCCCCTGGGGCTCTGTAGGGTCAGGGCCAAGGAGAGGAGTCAGCCTTCCCTTGATGATCCCTTGACGGAGACTCGTTGACCAAACTTGGGGCAGGCTTCTCTGAGCACTCCTCTGACTAGGCCTCATGCTTGGTGATGTGGGAAACAAAGGCAGAAGAAAAATTATTAAATTTCCTTACTATTTACAGCCCATCGACAAGTCCTTGAAACAGGCAGGGACTGTTTCATTCCTCTAGGGACTCAACTGCCTCAATGTTAATACTAAGGGCAAAAAACAATCCTAGCCCAACCCGCCCCGCCCCCAAGGATCCTGTAAGTCTACTTTAACATATAAAAATTCCTTTAGAAATTTCCTTTATCTCTAAACCCCCCCAAGATATGTGTTGGCAATCACCCCTGCCCCAAGCATATGGCCTGACAATATATATCTGAAGGGTCTCATTATTAAGGTTTTATTAGACAGTAATAAATGACCTTTTCCCACCAATAGCTAGCCCCCTCAAGGTCCTGGAAGCCTTGCTTCCAAGTTCCTTAGAGACTTACGCTATCCCTAACCTCTTTCCAACTTGAAAGTATATAATGGGCCACTGCTCATGACCCCAGTGCAGCTCTTTCTGCCCACGGGTCCTGTCCCCATGCTTTAATAAAACCAACTTTATGCATCAAAGATGTCTCAAGAATTCTTTCTTGGACTCAATGGCTTTGAACCCTAACATTCTTTTTTTTTTTTTTTAAAGATTTTATTTATTTTTTTGACAGAGAGAGACATAGCGAGAGCAGGAACACAAGCAGGGGGAATGGGAGAGGGAGAAGCAGGCTTCCCGCAGAGCAGGGAGCCCAATGTGGGACTCGATCCCAGGACCCTGGGATCATGACCTGAGCCGAAGGCAGACGCTCAACGACTGAGCCACCCAGGCGCCCTGAACCCTAACATTCTTTCTGTAAATAAATAAAAATAAAAAGAACATTCATGTCCAGGATTTTGTGTGGACATAAGTGTTGTTGGGCCTGGGGGTGGGGTCCTCCAGACCACCCTCGGGGTGGATGCCTCACTCCCTAGAAAGACTCACGGGGGGGGGTCCCTCCCTCTTTGGAAGTTTTGTGCTATCTCTCAATAAACTTTGCTTTGCTGCCCACCACTTTTCATCTGGTCTACCTCTTCGTTCTTCAAGGTGGCGTAACCAAGAACCACGGACACGAAAGGAAAAATCTGCAACATAGTCATCCTGGGCCCCGCACTGAGAAGTGCCATCTCATTTAGCCCCAAACATAGTAATGATGTGGAGAACAAAGGCAAAAGAAGTATGTTCATTTCTGGAAAAAAAAAAAAAAAAAAGACTCACAGGACTCTCACAGGACTCCATGGAGGTCAAAATGATTCTGCATGGGGGCGCCTGGGTGGCTCAGTTGGTTAAGCGACTGCCTTCGGCCTCAGGTCATGATCCTGGAGTCCCGGGATCGAGTCCCACATCAGGCTCCCTGCTCAGCAGGGAGTCTGCTTCTCCC